AATCATCATTGCAGTATTTCTTTCAAAAAAAGGAAGTATGTGGCATTCAGAATTGGCTAGATATGTATGCAAATAATATAAAGCTCAGACCACAGGTATCTATGCAAAGCAGGAGCAAAGGCAAGGTTAATACCTTGACTCTTCTTCATAGGAGTGTGCTTATTAACTAATAACACCTGTGAAACCTGTCTACTTCCAATGTACTTGTGAGGTTGGGATTCATATTAGAGATATGTGCCCAGTAAGGCTCTTCTCCAGCATCAGATGAGCCCCCCACCCCCATTTTCATTGTTTTTGCTGGATTATACTCACACAGCACCTGGCCACACTGTCTGGTGAACAAGACCCTGAGCAGAGCAGAGCCTTCCTGTCTGCCATCAGATATAAATCCGGAGAGCTTCGGGCCGGAACTCTGCCTGCTTAGTTCACTGACAAACCGACCATGCAAGAGAAACCTCATGAAATCTGCTCTAGGAAGATGTTCTTCCAGCAGCAGGTAGGAGGAGCCAAAAGAGACCAGAACAGGCAGCCCCACATGGCCAGGCCTCTGGACCCGTTTTCTAAGGTACTGAAGTTTAACAGGGTCGGGGTCTGGGAGGGCAGAGTTACCACAACTCAGGAAAGAACTCTTGCTCCCTGTACAAGCAATCCACTTAGATTATTCTACTGTTAAAACACAAGCACCTGTCCATAGTACAACACCCCCCAAAATGCAAAAGTATGTCCACAAACCTGGTTGAAGAGAACTTTCAGAAATACATCTTTTTCCTTAAGGAATATTAGTTAGATATTTTAAACCAAGCTATAATAATAAAAAAAAGTCAGAGTGATTTTTTTTTTACTACCTGGGGCTATAGAGTAATTATGCAAATAGCCGGGAATTTGTCATTATGACTAACCATAAGTGTATAAAATAATTTGATTAAATAAAAGACAGTTACCTTAGTCATCATACTAATTTGACAAGAACTTAAAAAAAAAACTTCAGCCGCCAGCTTCTAGACTAACTATACAAGAACTGTCTTCAAAACGATGCTTTTTTTTAGAGGAGAAAGAAAGTAACAACCATGACAGCTACAAGTCACTCACTAATTGTAAACCTACTGAAAGTTCTCTGACCTAAAAATAAGTGACTACAGAGCAGAGAGACCGAGCCTCATTACCCTATAAATACAACCTCAGACACACATCTATAAAGCTACAGAGGGAGACGCCCACCTCACCTTCACATGAATTGCCTGAAGACCAGACACCAGAGACCACAACTGGGCTTTCTTCCATTTGCATTCCAAAGAAATTCAAAAGCATCTATCATGAGTTCCATTCGTACTTGCCTAAGGTGTCAGCAGTTTTAATTTCCTGTCTACATCCTTATCTCCTCAAGTCCTCAGTAATTCGATAACACACACAAACCAGTCTCTGCAGGGCTACCTTTCAGGAATAGCTGGCTTGCCACATCTCAGTAAGCCTCCACGATGCACAGATTAAAGTCTACACAAACCCTGCAAAATACAAGCTGGAGTCTCTGAAAGCAAACACCCAGCTACCAGAAGTATACCTGGTCTTGCCTTGGTGGGACAATAGGAAGCACAATGACCATTAAATTCAGTGGACATTTTCTTAGGCAAAATCATCATCATCATCATCACCACCACCACCACCACCACCATCACCAAGCTGTTTAAGATGCTGCAACAGAACATTGTTCTAAGTTCTGATTTCAAAGTCCCTGGCTACATGGGGTCTACAAAGAGTATCTAGATTACCTTATCTGTATTGTTCCACCAAGATCTAGATGCCAGGGCCCACTTCTTCACTTCCTGAAAGGCCTTGAGACCCAAGCAAAAAGTGGAAGATTCTCAGACCAGTGTCTCTGTCTGTCTGTCTGTCTGTCTGTCTGTCTGTCTGTCTCTCTCTCTCTCTTCTCTTTCCTTCCCTCCCTCCCTCCCTTCCTCCCTCCCTCTCTCTCCTCCATCCCCTTTGCTCTCTCTCCATCCCTTTTCCCCTTCCCATCTCCTCTTTCCCTCTCCCCTCCATCCCTCTCCCTCTCTTACCCTTCTTTAACCCCTCCCCCCACCCAGGGCACACATACAGGAGTCCTACTTTTCAGGGCCGCTTCTCAAGTCACAAGTCACTTCCTGCCTCACTTCTGCAGTTGGGAAACACACACCAATGTCGCCGAGGACACACAAAGGACAAGAGAAACCTGTCTTTGCAGAATGAGAAAACTGAAATGACAGCAAACTTAAAAACAAAAAGGCACCCAAGGAGATCTCTCCCCTCTCTCTCTCTCTCTCTCTCTCTCTCTCTCTCTCTCTCTCTCTCACACACACACACACACGCACACACACACACACAAAGATAGCTACATGAACTTGTGAAATCAAATAGGAAATAATGGTTCTGGCCTCAAATTTGCAGTCATCCTCTTGGCTGAGAAAGGAAGCACCGTTGGCAGTGACCCATAGCCAGCCCTTCATCAGATACCTGAAAACACTTTCCCAGAAGCACATGCTGATTCCCATTGAAAAGATCGGTATCCACCCATGGACCACCTGTGTTCATCTACAGACACAGAGTCTCAGGTTTCCTAGGACAGACACAATGGAATTTTAAAAGGAATGAATCTGCCTTTCTCTCAATAATAATTTGATTCCCCAAATATTCACAGAAAAGGCTCCTGTGGCTTTAAGAAAAGTAAAACTTTCCCAACCTGCCAAATGACAGTCTCAAGAGACCCAGAAGATCAAACCTGTAGCAAGCTGACTGGCCAATCCTCCCAAGCCACCATTCTTCCTATGAGGTTCTTATAATAAAGGGACCTCCATGGCACCAGGCAGAGCAGGGTCCCTGAGAACCATGTGTTTGCACTGCTAGTCATCAAAATTAATTCATTTCCTAAGCCTGTCCTCTCTTGGGCCTCCACCAGCTTTCTGCAGGGCACCTGTTGGCTCTTGTTACCCAGTTCATGGTCCCATGCATCAGACTTTCCATTAGGGACAGACAGAAGTGCCCAGATGCCACCAGCAGGTGGACTGAATGCCTCCTGTCCTTTTCTTGTCCTGAGATTCATAGTGACCCGTCATCTCCCAGGGCCAGCCACGGTGGAAACACTTGCTTTTTAATTTTCTAAAAGAACAAAGGCTATTCATCTGCTTAAGGTTCTTCTTCACTTCCTCCCAAAACCTTAAATCACTGGAAGTGAACACTCCTAATCTTGGATGCTCATCATCCCTGAGATGAAAAAGTATATAGACTTGCTGGGTTTGCCACATGTGAAACCATACCCTTAATAGAAACCGAGGCAAAGCAATTGTCAAACAGGAGCCAGCTGTTGATAGAATGATAGCCTCTTTTTATATGAAGACCTAGTTAGATATAATTTAGTTTGCATATGCTACGGTACAGAGTCACACTTATCAGCATTAATGTGGGTTTGCCTCTAGTGACACATGTACCTTCTAAGTATTTTAACAGTCAAATCTCTTCTTTAAAAAGCTGCTTCTCCAAATATCACCATCCTTATCAAACAAATTCCAATGTCTACAGCTTAGTATGATAATGATATAAAAATGAATACATTTGAGAAAACAGAATACTCAAACGCTCTTTTGGCCCAGGGTTCAGTGACAATATTATACACAAGACAGAAATGGAGAATTAAAAACTGTTTATCTGGGAAGGGTTGACAAAAAATACATATGATTTCTCAAATGCCCCAGAGTTCAGTCACCCCAGGCACAGAACTGACTCTGTAGAACCCCACCCCCACTCCCAAGTCACCATATAACTAACTTTAACCAAGTACTTCTTCCCTTCACCTTTAACCTTTAGGAGCCTTGGGAAATTGTTGATGATACTGGAAACTCAGCGTCTGGCCCTCATTAACTTTAACCCTGGGCCAGGAATGAGGGATTCACGATAGCATTAGGATACACATAGCTCTATCTCTGGATGTGGTTATCCAACTGCTTTTGAAATCTTGTCTGATTCGATCTCCATCAAATGTGCTCACTGACACTTAAAAATCTAAGACATTTGATTCCAGTTTCACGTCAATAGCCAAGTAATGATTTAACACTATCCACTCTGAGACATCTTTTCCTGGTTAGACAGGATAGGTCTGGAAGTGCACTGTCTGAACCTCAAGTGTGGATCACCTGAGCACCACAGGAGAAAGCGACAAAGTACGCACTTGACAGTGTTGAGTCCTTACAAGTAGATTCCTTGGGTATAATAGGTGTCCATGGGCCTTTGAGCATCAATAATCCCTTTCTGGAGACAAATAAAACAAATACATATTGTACAGAATGATCCACTCCCCGTGTGGGCGAGCGATCATGATGGAGAATTAAGCTAGAACTACAGAAACTCGCAGCTACTACTCTCCAGGTACTATAACTTTATCCCCCCACTGAAAGATGGCTATTGGGATCTGGGTGGGACTAGTCCTCCTGCAGCTACTGCTCAGCTCGGGGAGCCTTTTACTCTAAACTGTTAAATTCCCTCGGCAATTGGCGGATAGAGAAAGAGCCAGGGGGGAAAAATGATGCATAATGATTCGTTCTCCGGGCGGATGAAACAGAGAGTAGAGGACGCAGGATGCTAACTGGCTTTTCCTCCCATGTGCAGGTCACCTGAACCGCGATGCCTTCCAGTCTCCGAGGAGGCTCCCTGAACTCGCCATAGGGCTCCGTTTTCAAGAGGGGAGAAGAAACAGTTTCATGCCCACCTGCCCGCGGCGTCTTCTCTCGGGCACCCCTTCCCCAGCCCCTGCCCCGGAGCGCGAGCTGCCGGCATCCACGGTCCCGCCCGCTCCGGGCTCCGGCCGGCAGCTCCCCCGGCGGCCGCCTCTGCACCAGTCGCCAACCTCCGTGCCGGGCCGAGGTCATGCCCGCCTGCCCCCGGCGCCGGCGAGGCCCCTTCCCGGTGCCAGGCGGCAAGCCGGAGAAACGCCGGCAGGGAAGGAGGTCCGCGGCAGAGTTGGCACCCGGACTCACCAGGTAGGCGCCCACCGTGCCCTGCGCCAGCATCAAGGCGCACTCAGACACCAGGAAGATCTTGATGTTGGAGAAGCAGGACACCTTCTTTTTCTTCTTCTTGTTCCTCTGCGCCTCGTCCCCCTGCAGCTCGCCGCTCCGGCCGCCGCCCGACGAGCCACCCGGCTTCTTTCCCTGCATCCTTCCCCCGCCGCCGCCGCCGCTTTCCCGCTCGCCCCGGGTGTCGTGGCCGTTGCCGGGTGGGGGTGCGTGCCGCGAGGCTGCGTACTGTCCCCGCCCCGGGCCCGCGGCGGCCGCCCCCGTCCTGCCGCGGCTAGAGAGGTTGAAGGCTCCGCTCCTCGCCGCCGCCGCGCTCGCTCCCTTCCTCCTCCTCCTCCTCCTCCTTCTCCTCCTCCTCCTCCTCCTCCTCCTCCGCCCTCCCTTCGCCGCCTCCTCCGGCTCAGGCTGTGCCAATCACAGAGACTCCTCGCGCCGCCCGCTGCCGCCGCCGCCTAGCCTCTCTCGGACTCCCGCCGCTGCCTGAACCGGCTCCCCCTGGCCCGCCGGCCTCGCCTGCCTTCACCCCTAGCGCCCCAAACCCGGGCTGGGGCCTGATCGTCGCCTTGAGCCCCGAGCTGCGTCGCTATTGGCTGCGGGTGCGTCCCTGGGAGGCACGAAGGGACATGTTTGGGGCACTAAGGGCTTGCTGATGGTCAAAGCCGGCGGGGTCTAGCTACCCCGAGAAACTGCAGAATCGGGGAGTCCTGGTGGGGTGAGAGGCTGAGCGAGGAAGGTGCTACCCGGCCACTAGGAGGCACTGTGGGGTCCAGGGCGCCACGGCGGAAACTGGGTGGTACTAGGACTTGCAATGAGGTGAAGAGATGGGAGTATCCAGGCACCCTACTTCTAGTGCGGGTTCCTAATGCTTAGGTACCCGAGTGTTAAGGTGGGAGAGGAGGAGCAATTTCCATAAAGAGAGTATCCCGGGTATTAGGGCTGAATTCGGCTTGGTTCGCGGGTTTCTAAGGACAGAAGTTGCATTCTGGAGCTCCGGAAGATGCCAGTGATAGGAGCTTCTTTGGTCTGCCAGCCTCTGCTCCTGCATTCAGTAACTACCGGACATATCTAAACCGCCCATTCCCCGAAAATGGGAGAAAGAAACGGAAACTCTGAGAAGGGAAGTTAGATCTTTAGGGAGTCTTGCAGACTGATTGTCATCCCCCAGCCACCAAGTACAGGCGACTGCAGGTCACAAGGACCCCAGCAGAGGGCCTTGTTTAGTTCTCCAGCTGCCTGCAGATGGAGTTAAGGAAGGGATGAGCCACAAGCCTGCTTGTCCCCACCCCTCTCCTGACTATTGTGGCCCTCCCTAGCCTGGCCTGAAGGTCAGCGTGCAGCAGCGCCAATTGTCATCAGACCTCCTCCCCCTGGCCCCCAGCATTCCCTAGGATTTTGGTCCACAAGGCATCTCTGATAGGATGTACTGGCTCAGGCAACAGCGTTTGGAAGCTAAGAGAAATGTGGACACGAAAAGAAAATACCTAGCATGGTCCTCTTTATCAACAGAGAGGCCAAGCCTCTTTGGAGTACTTCTCCTTGCTTTCCCTAGGGCCTATATCCCAATGCCAAGGCTTCCATTCAATAGTGCATAGCAATTAGCACCAGCCATAATTTCTACTTTCTTCCAGAGAAATTGAGTAAGAATAGACGGTGGCACAGTGGGGGTGTATTGTTTGCCTTACCATTTAAATATAAATTGCTTCATCCATCTGTCTTCCAGACATGACCTCACCTAGTCTTGGTGTGGTTTTCAATGTGCTTCCCCTTGTCTGGGGGTACCTTCTGCCTAAATTACTCCCTGGCATCACTTGCTACAGTGTTCTCTACCAGTGGTATTGTAACCTGGAGTTGTTAGGGTCAAAGCCTGTGTCCTGGCAGCCCTAAGAAGCTAGGCTCAGCCCCCTGTCCTCAGTATGCCAATTAAAGGAGCAAGTAACAGTCAAGAGAAGAAAGATTATTCAGTGTGGTTATATTGGGAAGAGGAACAAATAGATAGGTCTGGTGATCTCCCCCCTCCCCAGTTGATTTTTCAATGTTCTGCATGAGCTTTAGGATACAAAAGAATATGTATTGCTAAGTAGTCCTGGTCAACGTATAGTCCTGCCCATCATTAACCTATCAATGTCTGAGCTTCAGTCTCCTCTGCAGTAGTTTGATAAGTTGTCAGAACTCTGTCAACTCCCTTCCTGGGAGACAAGTTCCTCCTGTGACTGGTACCTTGTTCTTCCTGTAGCATGAGTTTGGTAGAGAAATTCCAATTCCTTCAGGACAATTAATTCAATAATCTGATCGCCAAAAGGAAGGGGCACACTTGTCTCTGGGCTCTTATCTGGATCTGTTACACCATGGCTGAAATCCTTACTGCCTGGCTGTACCTTTACCACCGCTACCACCCCTGGGCATACATTACCAGCTTTCTTTGGATCTTCTGCTTCTTGTCCTTGATCCTTCTCATGACTCTGGCCTTCCACAATTCCTCATCAGTAACACATTCCTTTGATGAGCTGAGAGACAGAGGGGGTCTTCCTTCTGAATGAGTTGCAAGGCTGAAGGTTGTAATGTCATTGGGGTGCATTAGTCTTCAAGACTCATTTATGTGCCTTCTAATCACACAAATACCCATGTTCATTTTGTGCTTGCCTTGACCACGCTCTCAGTACACAGCTGCATTTTACTGTAACCCTCAGCAACCTTCTAAACTAGATAGTGCAATTGGCACTGTTCAGAAAACTGAGATCTAAGAAGGGGAACTAACTTGACCCACGCCACTCGCTTATTCAACAAAGGTTGGCAGAACTAACAAGATATCTGTTGCCACATCCTACAGTCTCAGCAGGGAGGTGAGCATCCCATCATTCCCCTTAAAGGCAGAAATTCAGAGAGATGTAGTAGCTATCCCAAAGTCACACAGCCAAAATGAATAGAACTTTAGTCTCGGATCGGCTCTCTGCTTTAAATCACACTGCCTTACGTAGACTCAGGGGAGGACAACATGAGTTTGTTTTACATTTATAATATGAACTTTCTTTAAATAAATTAAACATAAATGCTGTTAGAGATAGGGTTTTAGATTATGACTGTCCATCCTTCCTATAATTAACAGTAGCTGGCTATGAAGGCCACCATGCACCAGGAATCCATCTAAGCCAGCTGCAGGCTTACAGTGTGGAAGAGGGAATTTTGAGCACTTAGTTCAGCACCCTTCCTCCTTTACAAGCCTTGGTCAAAACTGTGGCTATGGGGTGATGGGATAGGTTTGTGAGCAACAAGTGCTTTCATTTTGCCGTTCTTGACACACAAAGGAAGAGGCAGAAAACTAGGCACCATTGGGTCTGTCTGCACAGCTCACAAAAGCTTATCAATTGGTACTTTGATGGCTAATTCCTTGTCCACCCCACATACAGGGAGATCTGGTTCTATTGAGCCCTCTACTCTTAAGAAAAAGTAACAAATGGCTTTGTGGTATTTAACTCAGTTACCAGAGATGGCAAAATACATGCTTCAGCAGGAACTGATAGGGAAAGAGAAGAGAGAAGAGAAATTAGAAAGGAAGAGGCAAACTAGGGGGCTTAGCTCTCCTGATGCCAGCATTACTCCCTCAGACCAGCTTTAGAAATAGACAACCCAGTGACTGGGAGAGTAAGATAAAGCAGCCCCAGAGCATCTCCTCAACAAGATGGCCTTGATATTGACATAGAGAAACTGGGAACATTCCAGGGTCCACTTGAGGTCTTTTTGGTCTACCTATCCCCTAGTGAATAGTGAATTTAGGAATTGTTCAGTGGTCAGTGTCCACCAAGACCTTGCATTTCTTTTGGATTTTCAGCTACTTCTCTGGACTAGCTAACTCTTTAGAGTTATGAGGAAAATATTGCTAGTAAGGCTTTGGACTTAAGATTCTTGTTTTGTTGTATACTGACAGTATTCTGGATACTGGAAAGCCACACAATCTTGAAGTGTGACCCAGGAAATCCAGAAGAAGATTTCCTGACATGGAAAAACCAACTGACCTTGAAGTCCTAAAATATTAACATTAATGGATAAATATGAGTATTAGAGTAACTCATATGATAAATATGAGTTAGTATTTGGAGAACTTGTCACTTCCACTGAAGAAGAGAAGTGGGTTAAATTCTTGTACACACACACACACACACATATGGAAACACACACTCTCACAACACATACACATAAACACATGCATTCACACATGCACACACAGTCACTCACACACACATATGCTCACACACATGCTCATATCACATATATATATACCCACACACACCACACACACACACATAGACACACGGACACAATCTCACACACAGTTATAAATACACAAAGTAACAAAATCTTTCACTGTCACTCGGCTGTGGCAAGATTTCACAGCAAGTGGCCTCGATGTAAGTCAACTCACTGAGAAACTATTGTTCAAGTAATTTACATGAGTCATCTTCTGCCAGCTCAATTTTTGTTCACAGGCAAACACAAGGTTGAAAAATAAATTCATAGAATGGTTTCTGATTGTCATTGGAATGGACAAATAGATGTTTAGATTCTTACCCTGTAGATGACATATTTTTTCAACACACACACACACACACACACACACACACACACACACACAGTTTTTAATTTACCAATCACATACTGTGTTCACCCAAGGATAGAATTGAAGTGAGGCCAACTCTTCTAGCCTGAAAGTAATATTTGTGTTGAGCTGAAGTTTGCTTCTATTCCTTATAGCCTTTCTTTTCCCCATACCAGTCTGCCTGACAATGCCTGGCTGTCTACCATAGCTACCCACTATATCCTAAGATTTATATTTAAATAATCTCCCTTAATTTAAATATGTCCTGAAGTTAGACAAAGAATAAAAAGCATAAGCATCTATGTGGATCAGTTTGCAACCAGGTAAGTCTGAAATTCATGTGGAAAAGGAGAAGACAGGAGAGCATGGGCAGAAATTGGAGAATTAACTGGAGATAAGAAGAGTTTCTGAAATATGCTTTATTCATGACAGATTAGATTTAAGGTGAAAGGGGAGGAATAAAAATATACTCAGTACTGATTTTGCTTTCAGGATCTCCCCTCAGGATCTACTGCTACTTTGGAAGTAATTAGAATTTGTTTACCCAAATAGGCTATTTGATTCTTAGTATAGAAGAAGAATGTACATACACATCATAACAAGAAAAATCCACCTTAAATCATGTTGGAAGAAACCAATATTGGATTTTATTTTAGTGTGATGTTTGTATTCGTTTCTGGTGTTCAGCTTTAGAAAAAAAGAACCATCTTCGAGGAGGATGCTGGTTA